AGACTCATTCTCCATCCAGCCTTGTTCCCTTGCTGGTGAGGAGTTGTGATCCATTGGAGGAGGAGAGGCATTCTGGTTTTGGGTGTTTTCATCCTTTTTGCACTGGTTTCTTCCCATCTTTGTGGATTTATCTACCTGTGGTCTTTGTATTTGGTGACTTTGGGATGGGGTCTCTGACTGGTCGTCCTTTTTGTTGATGATGAAGTTATTTCTTTCTGTTTCTTAGTTTTCCTTCTAACAGTCAGGCCCCTCTGCTGCAGGACCGCTGGAGGTACACTCCAGACCCCGCTTGCCTGGGGATCACCTGCAGCATCTGCAGAATAGTAGGGGTTGCTGCCAGTTCCTTCTTCTGTTATCTTTGTCCCAGAAGGCTACCCTCCAGATGTCAGCCTGAGCTCTCCATTATGAGGTGTCTCTTTGGATATACAGGGGTCAGGGAGCTGCTTGAGGAGACAGTCTGTCCCTTATAGGAGCTCAAGTGCTGAGCTGTGAGTTCCATTGTTCTGTTAAGAGCTGCTGGGTGGTTATGTTTAAGTCTGCTGCAGCGGAACTCATAACTGCCTTTTTTTCCCAGGTGATCTGTCCTGGGAAGGTGGAGATTTATTTATAAGCTCCTGACATGCTGCTGCCTTCTTTCAGAGGTGCCCTGACCAGCAAGGAGGTAGCCTAGTCACAGTCTTCCAGCAGAGGCATTGCTGAGCTGCCATGGGCTCTGTCCAGCTGCTGTGTGCATCTCCTTGCAGTTTTGTTTATAGAGGTATAGTTAGAACTGACTTGGTAATGGCAGTCTTCCATAGTAATGGCAGACTGTCTCTGTAATGGTGGACTGCCTGGGTAATGGCAGACTGCCTCGGTAATGGCAGATTGCCTCGGTAATGACGGACTGCCTCAGTAATGGCGGACTGCCTTGAGGATAGTGGACTGCCTCAGTAATGGCAGACTGTCTTGGTAGCGGTGGACTGCCTGGGTAATGGTGGCGCCCTTCCCCCCACAGAGCTGGACTGTCCTGGGTCCAGCTGTGCTTGCTATGAAACTCTCAATCCAGAGTGTTTCAGATTGCTGGTCTTTGTGGGGGTGGGACCTGCCAAACCAGATCACCTGGCTCCCTGTTTCAGCCCCCTTTTTTTCAGTTGAATGGGCGACTCTGTCTCCCAGGCATTCCAGGTGCCAGTTGAAATGGCCGTCCAGATTTGTGTGAGTTTTTGTGTGGAGACCCACTGCGCTGGCTGAAACAGCTGTGCTGGAGACTCATGGTGCTTTTCCACCCAGGAATCTCCTAGTCTGCAGGCAGTAAAAACTCTTTTGGAAATGCAGTGATCACTCACCCTATGTGTTCTCGCTGGAAACTGCACTCCAGAGCTGTTCCTATTCATCCTTTTTGGATCGTCACCCCTCTTTTAGTTTTTTTGTTTAGCTTCTTGTTTGTTCTGAGTGATATCCCCACCTCAGACAGTTGCAATGTTAGTTGGTTATTAATTTTTTTTTGTTTGTTTGAGAAACACCCTGAGGAAAAGGCTGTTTGCACTGAGTAAGCTCTTAATTAGGTCAAATCATGACATTTGCTCTGAGGTGAGTTTCCAGGTAGCTAACAGAAAGAAAAGTAATGACAATTCTTTGGTATGGGTCATTTTGGAGATCTGCAAACATGTTCTGCCCCTT